TCTACCAGTAATTTTGCTCCAATCTTCGAGTGTAGCAATATTTCTGAAAATAATTTTCCCTGGGTTGGTCAATAACTGGTACAAAACCAGAAAAAACAGGAACAACGGGAAAATTTATGAAGTATATTATTTTCAAATCGTAAATATTATACGGCCTTTCCCAGCTTCCCACTTACAACAGTAGTCTATTTATCGTGCGAAGTATGTCCGTATCTTTTTTCAACTACTTTATTCAGCTCAATAAATGTTAATGAACAGTTATCCACACTATTATTTTAAATATAATACATTTTTTGAGCATATTTTTTATACATTTTTGATAATACAAAGTAGGTAATCTCAAGAGTAATACCTAGATCAATTACTATTTTACCAGCATAAGTGAGTAAAGAATCACAAAGAGAATGTTATTAGATAGAATAATATATTGGGTTCTGTAGAAAGTTATGGAAAGGCACTATTAGATATTAAACTCAACTCCGATGTTTTTATTATATTTACCAATCCCATCAAGATCTCTTTAAAGTAGAATGCAGTCATTTTTAGAACGGATTTCCAAAAACAATTTTAAATCGCCGCAAATAATAAATAATGACTATTTTGAATAAAACATTTGATGATTTTTATGAAAATAGAGAAGAATATAAATGGAGATGGAAATGGTGTTTCTCTGAGTGAACCCAGATGGGTTCACTGAACCCAGAAAACCTTTGAGTGAATGTACTGAGTGTGATTAGTAAGATAAAAACTTAACCAGAATAGTAATGGTTCACTAAACCCATTTGATACAAAAATTTTCATCAGAGTCTTATGGTCTACCTTCACAAATTATAAACCTATATCATTCTTCTTACATAGGTAACTATTATTAAAAACTATGAATTAAATCACGAAACACATATTCTTTTACACTTTAGAATATAAAATTTAAAATGTTCAAATTGTAAATGTCTTACTGTGGTACTCTATTTTAAAGTATTTATATAAATTACTTTCAATGAAATTCGTTGGTTATTTCAATTTTCATTTTAGAATTGTTTTACTTAATATCCAAAATATTTTGTAACTTACATCAATAATATAATAAAAGTTAATCAAATATAATCGGTAAAATTACGATGGCAGAAAAGTTAAAATCTAAAAATAGATTCAATTTTAAGTAATTTATGATAGTTAAATAATGATTTTTAATCAATTAAAATTTCATTAGTGACGAGTCTTGAAAGAAATGCGTGTGCAAAATTGAATAGGTAATCATGGGTCTATATCACGATGTAAATAAAATGTATATTTACATTGTGGTCAATATATTTTCATAGTATATTCTTTGGTATCACATTCACATAATTGTTAGCGTATTTTGGCCCAAATAAGCAAAGTAGTTGTTTTTGATAAAGTATATCGATAATTGATTATTTATGAACTAATACATAGGGCCCGGAAATGTATAGATAAAAAAACGTACGAAATACGAAAGCATTTTTGCACTGATTATTACTAAAATATGCAAAGATATGAAGACAAAAATATGCGTTTGTAAAATTATTTTACTATGAAAATTAATATAATTAACACATATATGTAATTCATTAGATAATTAATATGGAACAAACATGTATAAAAAAAATTAAATACTATGCGAATTCCTTACGAACCATGTTTAATCATATGTGGACAACATCAACGAACAATAATAAAGCAAATTGGTATGAAACACTAAGGTATTCGACTACCTATATCACAATAAAAAATCATAAAATACATAAATATGCAGTACTCATGAGAAAATGACAGAATATGCAAAATAATACTGAATTTTGGATCTATTGTCGCTTTAAATAAACTTGTACGTTTTACTATATGGACTGTTAAAAAAAAACATATAAATGTTATACATAAAAATATAATATATTATTTGTATACACCTTGTCCCACCCTATTTCTACATGCGCCTTGTTAGTAATACATTTAAATAGAAAAATGTATGTGAGAGTAAACATTTTAATTTATAAGTCTTATTTCCATGACGGGTTTAGTAACTCGATACCGTATAGAATGCGATTATATTCACGGCGGTTCGGTGGGAGCGGGTAAATTCAGAGGTGAAATTATCTCGCTTAAAACGGCCACCGGTCGTTGTCGTGAAGCCTACAGAGTGTATTCCAATAAAAAAATTTTCGTCCGGTCCGCGCACTCGGCGTTGACTACCGTCGGGCTACGCTGCTGCCGCCACCGCGGTTTCCGTGTTCCGGTTACCGCGTGACGCGTTTAATCGCAATTGAATAACGAGACAAAATAATTTCGTATTTACGCGTTGCTGGATATCGCGCGGCCATTGCGAGCGCCGCCGCGTGATGCGTTTTCGTACGTGTGTGTGCGTAAGTGCGTGCGAACGTATTATAGTGGTGTGTGTGTGCGCCGCTTTTGTGCGGCTCTCGTGTACAACACAGCAATATAACACAACTACAATATTACAATCCAGTTACCCCCCTTCACCGAACCGGGAGTTTCTTCGGCGGCGACGGCGACGACGTTGTTTGGTAGGCGAACTGGTGGCGGTGCGCGGAAGACCATCGTCTAACCGCCACCGCGATCCTGGTTGGTTAGCCGCCACCGCTTCCGCCCCCTCCGTAACTTCCTCTGCGGAGCCGGACAACGGCGTGCCGGTCGCCGGGGCCTATAAAAGGGCGAACCGTAGGCCCGTCCGCCTACAGTGTTTGTGTGATTTTTGCGTCCGTAGCAAGTTGCACTCATCTTCTCTTCGTCTTTTCACTCCCCGCGTTGATTTATGAGAATATTTGACTTTTAATATTAATTTTTTTTTTCTCGATACTTCGCGTTTTCGCGGAGCCGTCTGTATTATTCGTTTGAACATTTGGATCGACCCCACACCGAAGACAATTTATGAACAATTTCGAAAAATCTGATTTATTTATTTTTTCCACTTCGGGATAGCGCAAACCACGATTACGATGGAACCATCCAAAGCAGTGATCGCTTTTCTCATCACCGTGACCTGTGTTTCAGCGGCTGTCGTTCCCGGCAAACGTAAGTATTTGGTTTGTTTTTTTTTTTTTTTTTATATACACTTGACGATTTCGTTACCGTTAATTTTGTTGTTATCGTCGACTAAGGAAACGGATAAAAAAACAAATAAAATAAATAATAAATTTATAATATTTTCACGAGCGGTATTTGAACAATTTTTTTAGGAAATAAAATTGAAATTTACGAACTCAATTTATAACAACAACAATAACGTAGTTACGGTTTTACAAGGATAAGCAAATATAGAAATTTGGGTTTTTTTTTTTTTTTTTTTTAACACGGAGATTCATTAAAATATTGATAAAATAATATTACTACTACTACTACTACAACTTTTACTACTCATACTATTACGAGGATTGTTTGGCGGTGATAATAATATTGCTGATTAAAAGTCGCTCATATATAGATTCAGCGTGTAGATGTAACATATAATTAACAAGTATATTACGGGGTTCATTATATATAGGTATATCGTAGTAAAAATCGATTAGAAAAAAAAAAATCGCATGCAAAATAATACAATTTTATACATTTTTTTCATTTTTCACGACCGGAGAAAAGGAGTTAGAAAATTTCGGAGAGCTTGCGAAAGTTATTATTAATTTTTAGACGCGACGTACGCGCGAAACTTTGTAAATAATATTAAACATTGCGGTTTAAAAAAAAAATAAATAAATTATACACCATAACTTATATTACTGGGTAATCGTTTATTACTACCGTCAAACTTGATTTCTGGGAACATTATTATATATATGAATTAACTAATATATAGTTTATAATAAGGGTGTATAGAGTATAAGTAGATTTATCGCGGTTAAAGATCGATTAAAAATAAAATAATACCGTTCGGCTATATATTGGTAAATCACCAGTAATTTTTTTATAATATGCGTATTTAGTTCTCTGTACCATCCCTTCCCCCTCGTACTAATAAACTTGAGAGTTGTCGATTTATTTTTTTTATTAGTTTTGCGTGCGTGTCCCGAATTCCCACCGCGTTTTTTTAAGAGATTACATATGGTTTTTGTCATCACGGAAACAATGTGTATTATATAAGAATAATTTTTCACGATGAATTATCGACGGTCGATTATCGTTTTAATTCGTTTTCCTCCTCCCCGTTTCTATCGGTTCGATAAAAATTCAACGTAATTGCTCTAATCATCTCGCGCCCCCGCGACCAGACCAATTAAAAATACCACTTCTCGGTTTCCTAATTTCGTTTAACCCGACTAAAACCCATTAACAATCATACCGATCGTATTATACTGTTGTCGTGTTGTTTACGAACTATCGCCTCGGTAATATAAGTTACATATGTTTTTTACGTCAATTTTCTTTTCCCGTTTTTGACAAAAATAATATTGTATTGAAAATCGAAACAGCAGTAAAACGTTTCGATTTCCTTGAGTGAAACCATCCACCCCGTCAAAATAATACATTTAATAACACGAATATAACGTATAATTTTAAATATTATCATAGACATACAAATATTAATTCATTATTTATTCATTTATTAAATTAAATAATTTGTACGACTTTTACGCTTTTCCCGCGCACTACAAAAAAAAAAAAAAAAAAAAAAAAATCAAAAATCTTCAGCACCGTTGTGTAAATAATACCACGATTACGGTTCCGCAACTAGCTTTAATAAGATCTTGGTGGGGGTGTTTGGGGAACATCCTCCCTTCCAAATATTTCGTGTTATATTATGTTGTGAGGAAATAACTATCTCAGTCGATAAAATTAGAACACGGCAAATGTTTAGTTTCCATTCCCCCCCCCCTCGAAATTACTTTCCAGTCATGGTCATGTGGGGGGGAGGTTCAGTGCTACCGGCAACATGAGCGAACCAGTTGACAGCCATTTCATGGGTATGGACAACCAATAAGTTTTATTTTAACATCATTTATAATACTATAGAGTCCTAAAACGATTCAGACATGGTCTCGACTCATATGGCATATGATTGCGTGACATCGTGGAAGGTTCCTAGCGTAAACGGCAATTCGATTCCAAGCCGCAACTTGTCGTTCTCGTTAATCCGCAACCAGTCAGCTGCCAACTTAGGCATACAGTCATACCAATGTGCTGTGAGTATATCTCGTCTATATCATCTATATGATATGAAAAATACAACCCCTATTTAAAATCAACGATGAAAATGAATTTCAATATAGTCGGTATAATATTTTAGATTCTAAGCGAAGCAAGAAATATTTTGGTTGTACAATGATGTTTTTTGTTTTATGTTATATATATATAGTACGGTGTATACTTTGTACAACATTTATACCGGATATTTTGCCCCATTACGGAGTGATCGATCTATCATAAAACATTGTTAATCTCGGAAAGAATTAATTTTTCCGGAATTTGGATTTTAGAACATTTAAAAACAAGCTACTCTACAATTTTATATTTATGTTTTTTTTTGTCACCTCTATGTTTGGAGGTAAAACCACTACCAGCCTTTAATTTTTAAATAGCAACCTGTNTTAAAAATTCCCTAAATAGATGGAATATTATTTAAAATAAATTTGAGTGTTGAAACTTTTGATTGCCATCAATCTATTGACGATATATTCCACTTTTAAATTTCTTTTGGAGGAGAGTAGTAGTAATAATACATTACCGCTCTCCCCCAAACCAAACTTATAAGTGGAATATCTCGTCATCTGTTTAAAGAAAGTCAAAAATTTTACACCAAAATTTAATTTAATTAATACTTAATAATATATATTTATGAAACTTCTAATGCGGATTGCCATTTGAAAATCAAAAGTGGTTTTATCCTCAAAAATAAGGGTGACAAAAAAATAACATGTATATAACATCGTAGAACAGATTGTTTCCTNTAGATTGATCACTCTGTATATCAAATGTGACATATTTTCTAAATGGAAATTTTATCTAATTGGTACTTAAAGGGAGTTCTTTTGATTTTCGTTGATTAAAAAAGTAGTTTTCTATAGTATTGTATTTTTAATAATTGAGCAACAACGTATGAAGTAATGAACAATTTACAAATATAATTCTTTTATTATTTTCAATTTGGTTTTTTCTTTTGTTATAATTCTTATGAGATGTCTGTAGACTAGAAATTTGGAAAAAAAAACCAATATTTACCTTTTATAGACGTGGGAACGTATTTAAAATAATTGAGCCATTTTTAAACTACTTAAAGACATTTAAATTTTGTAAGTTTTTTCGGCTAGGTACTCGTGAATAAAATTGTTAGACTAATNCATACAGTCATACCAATGTGCTGTGAGTATATCTCGTCTATATCATATATATGATATATAAAATAAAACCCCTATTTAAAATCAACGATGAGAATGAATATCAATATAGTCAGTATAGTATTTTAGATTCTAAGCGAAGCAAGAAATATTTTGGTTTTACAATGATGTTTTTTGTTTTATGTTATATATATATATAGTACGGTGCATACTTTGTACAACATTTATGCCGGATATCTTGCCCCATTACGGAGCGATCGATCTATCATAAAACATTGTTAATCTCGGAAAGTATTAATTTTTCCGGAATTTGGTTTTTAGAACAATAAAAAACAAGCTACTCTACACATTTATATTTCTGTTTTTTTTTATCACCTCTATGTTTGGAGGTAAAACCACTATCAGCCTTTAATTTTCAAATAGCAACCTGTATTNAAAATTCCCTAAATAGATGGAATATTATTTAAAATAAATTTGAGTGTTGAAACTTTTGATTGCCATCAATCCATTGACGATATATTCTACTTTTGGAGGAGAGTAGTGGAGTATCATTCATATGGCTATATGGTGCATGGCATGTTAATAATACATTACCGCTCTCCCCCAAACCAAACTTACAAGTGGAATATCTCGTCATCTGATTAAAGAAAATCAAAAATTTCACACCAAAATATAATTTAATTAATACTTCATCTATTTATGAAACTTTTAATGCGGATTACCATTTGAAAATCAAAAGTGATTTTATCCTCAAAAATAAGGGTGACAAAAAAATAACATGTATATAACATCGTAGAACAGATTGTTTACTTAATATAATGGAAAACAAATTCTGGAAAAGTTAATACATTCGAGATAACNATCAAAAGTGATTTTATCCTCAAAAATAAGGGTGACAAAAAAATAACATGTATATAACATCGTAGAACAGATTGTTTCCTTAATATAATGGAAAACAAATTCTGGAAAAGTTAATACATTCGAGATAACTTGTGTCGTATGATAGATTGATCACCCTGTATATCAAATGTGACACATTTTTTAAATGGAAATTTTATCTAATTGGTACTTAAAGGGAGTTCTTTTGATTTTCGTTGATTAAATAAGTAGTTTTCTACAGTATTGTATTTTTAATAACTGAGCAACAACGTATGAAGTAATGAACAATTTACAAATATAATTCTTTTATTATTTTCAATTAAGTTTTTTCTTTTGTTATAATTCTTATGAGATGTCTGTAGACTAGAAATTTGGAAAAAAACCTATATTTACCTTTTATAGACGTGGGAACGTATTTAAAATAATTGAGCCGTTTTTAAACTACTTAAAGACATTTAAATTTTGTAAGTTTTTCGGCTAGGTACTCGTGAATAAAATTGTTAGACTAATCAGAACTATTTGAAAATTTAAAATTGGTTCATTATAAATATTACTTAGTGGAACGGTATCGTACTTTTATAGTAGTAAAAAATAATGAGTTCATTGTTTTGTAGAATTTTTTATTAGATTTTAAAATTCTTTTAAAATCAAATTTTGAAAAAATTGTAAATATCACGGGCTTTCAAAAAATGTGTAACCGAACTCCATTCAGAATCGTTGTTCATTAGCAATGATCGTTAAATTGTTGCGTACTGATTTATATTAGATTGTCTCTATAATATTCTACTTTCCCAATTTCTCCCCAACATCAGTGGCCCACCTATTGTGCGCAGTATGTGCGTCTTTTTAACATCGAGATGAAAAAAAAATAAAAATAAAATTAATGTTATCATTATAATACAATATAGTTAACTGAGTCTGTGACGGCGGACGGCACTGTGTTATTGATCGCGATATCCGCGGACGAACATTGCGACGGATTATTAAAACCCTATGATCATCATGTGAAAGACGGAAAGATGGTGATGCTGCTCTACCAGAACTCTCGACGTCCGCTGCAGCCGATAGACCGTCCGACGAGAGAGGTTACGGATGAACAATGCAGGCAAGTGGCCACCATAAATCATACGCGGATGTTGTTTCGTTATAGATTATTTTGCCAGTTGTAATTCATATCGTTTGTCTGCGATGAACTTAAATACATTATATTATACGAAATTGGTTATGTTGCCGAACATTCGAAAATATAAACGAGCGGATTCCGCATTTAGTTATTATTATTTTAATACGGGCAAAATATTAATCACGAATATACCAATTCTATTATCATTATTTCAATAAAATACACTTACCTAATTAAAAGCGTGTTGTTTTTAGGTTTTCGGATTTCACCCAAGGCGAATGGTTAAACTTGAGAGTTGACGGTGGGACTCTACAGTATGTGCACGTCGTACACCACGACGAAATTGACAGTGGTGAACAGAAAGGCGACGATGAAACCGGCCAACAGACCCGAATCAGGCGGCAAATTTACTCGGATCCTACTGTGCTTGACGGAGATGAAATAAGGGTACGTGAAACAAATGCATTCAATAACTTTTAACCTTATTGATATGAGTTAATTACCGTTGACTTGAACATTATTTTAATTAACGGTTACCATTAATATTTTGGTGCGATGGTGGCTCTTATTTTAAGTGCCCGTGCACTATCTACGTACCGACAATACAATTTAAAAGTGTTAAACCATAGTAACAGTAATTTTGTAGTAAGTAGGTACCTGAAATATAGGTTTATATGAAAATCGCGTTTCAACATTTTAAGAGATTCTGAATATTATCACGCAACTTAAAATTGGGTAAATTGAGTTGTTTATAGTGCGAAACGGCCGCGCGGTCGTCGTCGGGCACGGAAACGCGGAGTAAATGATAGCCGTGACATTTTTGAGACAGTTTTAATATATAGGTCAGTGTGGAGTGTGTGATTGGATACATAAAATGGGGCCTTGGTTATCATGCGTAAGGTAATCGATTGAAATCTTTGTATTATGCGTAAATTTGATGGTTTAGCCGCACCCCATAACTGGATGCCATAAGTCCACATAGGCATGAGAAGTTGTTTATAAATTAGGAGTTTGGAATTGAGGTTAAGTTTAGAGTGATTACCTATCAGATAGTGTAGTGTTTTCCTTCTGAGGTTTAGAGTGTTGCGTTTAATTTTTATATCTTCTGCCCAGGTGAGTCTCTTGTCTAGGGTTAGACCTAGGTAACGGATGTTGGGGACAATTGGTATTGTTTGATTATTTAGGTTGGCAGAAGGTATTTCACCCTGCCTTAAAGAAAAAGTAATGTGTGATAACTTTTCGTTGTTAATTTTATCTTTCCATTTAGTATACCAGGAAGATAGGCTGTTTAGGTGGTTTTGTAAGTGTAGAATGGTAGTGTATAGATCATTTTGAGAAGTTTATATAATATTTACATCAGTGAATTCGGCTACTGAAGTATTCGGGAAAGTTGGTTGGTCAGCTGTGAATAAGTTGTATAGGAAAGGCGATGAAACAGCACCTTGGGGGACACCAGCTACTATAGGAGTAATTGATGATACTTCCGTGCCTACTTTTGTCACAAAGAAACGGTTATTGAGTTACGATTGAAAGAAGAGTAAATAAGGCGCGGGAAGAATCGCTTTTAATTTATAAAGAAGTCCCGGGTGCCAAACCAGATCAAAAGCCTGGGCAAAAACTAATGAAACAGCAGAGCAATATTTTTTCATTTCCAGTGAATACGATATTGAGTCAACTAATCGGTTAATTTGATGGATTCTTGAATGTTTATTCCTGAATCCAAATTGTGAATTTGGGATGATTTGATAGATATTAATTAGTCGGGATATACGTTTTAAAATTAATTTTTCGGATAGTTTGGCAAATAAAGGAAGAATACTTATTGGACGATACGAAGTTGATATGTCCGGGGGTTTATTTGGTTTAGGAATCAAGACAATAACTGAAGTTTTCCACTGAACCGGAATGTACGAGAGTCTTAGTATGGAATTTAAAATATGGATGAGGTGGATAACGGCTTTTTTTGATAGTTGGCGAGCAACTTCAGCTGTAATTAAGTCCAATCCAGGGGAATTTGATGTAGTGGTAGACTTCAGATGGTGAGAAAGGTTTGGTCGGTAGGTAGAGTGGTAGTGAGGAGCCTAATGTTTTTAAGACATGTTCAGTAAATAAATGGAGGCTGATATCCTTGGAGGGTTGGAAAACATGTTCAAGTTGTGAGCGGAAGACAGCTGCTTTCTCCCCATCCGATTTTCAACAGGTACCATCCGGTTTTTTTAAGGAGGAGCATTTAGGTTTTTGTTTTAAACACTGACGAGTTGCATTTCAGAGGGAACCATCTTTAGCACTGATAGAGGAAATCCAAGAGTTGAAGGATTCGGCTTTTAAAGGGTTCAGATTACGTTTAAGGGACGAGGATAGGTAGTTGTAGATATTTTTATCTGATAATTTCTAAAAGCTATTGATTTTTATATACATTTTTAACTATCTAAAGACTACAACTGAAGCGAAAAATATTTTTCTACATTAGAACTTATAAAGAGTTTTTTTAAAATATTCAACGAAGGAAAAACGGATGACAGCCCTAACAATGCTATCGATTAAAAACAAATGATAACTAAAATTCCCAACTTTAATGAAAAAAAAAAATAAATATAGGTCTACGAAAATCAGACAGGAGAATTTATTTTATTTATAAACACATACCTGAAGTTTGAAATTCAATTGTTAAATAAAAAAATGATAATATATTCGAATTTTTATCTTTTTTGAATTTATTTTTATAAATTGGCACTGCATGATAAAATATTAGAGCTATTGAAAAAAGAAGAACACTACGAAACACATAAAGTTTTTGTACATATCTTAAAATTATGATAGCACTACTAAAAACATAGAAAGTGAGGTTCCCCATAAAAAACAGTTTATTAAACCCAAATTTGTTTTTTTATACGACTCTATGTAATTTATAATATACCATACGATCGATTTTCAAGTAATTATCTAAGTCTGCAAAATATTAATTTTAGGTTACTACCAAATAAAAACACATGCAAAATAACTGAAATAGAGTAATGTCGTTGTATGACTTAATTGTTTGCCGTTTTAGTTGTAATTTTCTTTCTAGATTTTTCTAATGATTTTGGAAACCCCTTGGAAAACCTAAAAAAATCTCTATAATGCACAACAAGAAAAAATTACAAAACTATAGTCTAAAATATTATATTTTGATCAATATGATTGTTGGTTTACAGAAATATATTATCCAGTGGGACAATGCAAGATCTAGGCGTTCGTTATCCGATGTCATAGCATCGAGTCTTCCTATTCCGTCCGGACCAACTCCACCACCGAGTCCACCACCTACACCTCCGCATACCCCGTCAAGAACCCAATCGAGAGTTCATTCTACTTACAATTCAATGTTTGAGGCTAAAGATTTGATAAAGTCGTTTGACACGTTAATAGAAGAGTATGAACAATTAATTAACAACGATAAAGAATATAAGGAAACACGGAGAAAGCGCAGTTTCACACAGAAAAACAACCCAACTAAATATAGATGGCGTTGTGTTAGAAGGATTAATAACGAGGATTCATTGTACAATCAACGCACGGGCGCTAAGTTCTTGACATGGGGTGGAAAGGTCGAGGAACATGTCGACCAATCCGGAAACCAACAACTGTGAGTTTACAATTACGTGTATAATCGTTTTTATAGAAATAATTGATATAAAGATCCAAATTTTGATGATTTATTAATTTATTATATTTAATGTTAATATCATTTATTCTAGTGACAACGGAAATAGTTCTACGCCTGTCAACAAAGGAAAAGATTATAAAATGACTTACAGTTGTCTGTGGTTTGTTCTTAGGGGCCCAAATATATTGGAATATTCAGTTGTTGGTTAGTATATGATGTTTGTTAAATATCGATAAGTAGAAAACTGGAAATTGAAAACCAAAAATACATGATAGAATTTATGCCAAAACGGTTGTCAAAACGACATTATTTCATTAAATATTGTCTGCTCGTAAATATAATTAAAATTTATATTATGTTATATTAATTAAATATTATCCACATCAAACAAGTTTTAGAAAATGTTACTACAAATAACTACAAATAACTCAAAAACGTGCAGATTATATCAAAATTGTTAGTTTAGAAAATGCTAATACTAGAATAGGTATTTAATAACCATTTTAGATCTCTATGGTTATTTTCACTCAATAAGAATGAAAAATACAAAATTAAAACCGCAATATTCTCGATTATCCTATATTTCCATTGGTTTTCCCCGATATTAAGAAAAGTAGAAGGACACAAAATAACCTACTCAATGCATCAGCTTAACACAATGTGTTATTATTTATTATTATTATTTTTATTCTTTATTTATTTACGGCGCTCCATTATCTTTATTATATCAGAAGATATTTCAATGGTATCTCTTTGTGGGACATTCTGCATTATGTCCAATAAACAAATTTAAACGATTTGAACGTATAAAAATATTTCGAATTTATTAAGTTTTAGGTATTATTCATAACTGTGTTTTACAATTTTTAGGCACTGGCCTGCCAAAACCAGACCAGGATTTGAAGAGCTTTGCACGGGAACTCTGTAAGGAAAACAAGTCGGGTAGTCGTGGCTTTGATGTTATCAAGCGGAAAAACCTTAATCCCCGCCGTGAGTGGTGGGCCACGGAATCCAGTGACTATATACCTCTATACTAAATCTAATCAAACGATGTGCTCACAACGGATGATTACATACCAAAACGACCAATCACTACAACCATGGTAAAAAATGTTCATGTATTTGCCATAAAGTAGCAATACCATTATGTTGTTTTCAAACCTTTATTTATTTGTGTTGAAAACTATATGTAACTATATGTTTTCTGCATTCAAGTCGCCACTAACTAAGAAATAGCGTTCAAGAGATATGGCAAATTGTTGATATTGAGATGTGGTTATCTTGTGTTTCGGAGGGCAATACGTTGCTGCTATAACGAACGATATGTGATTTGTTTTGAGTGTAATTATTGCTGCTTGTAGAAAATCTTCATTTATTGTAGAACAAATATTGAATTGTAAGAATGATTTGATGAGGATCGCAGAACCCGCATGTGCAGTGTTGTCGGGNATTTGTTTTGAGTGTAATTATTGCTGCTTGTAGAAAATCTTCATTTATTGTAGAACAAGTATTGAATTGTAAGAATGATTTGATGAGGATCGCAGAACCCGCATGTGCAGTGTTTTCGGGTGAGGGTGCAGATATTAGTTTGTAACCGGGAATAGAGAATTTAGTGTTTGGTGTGAATTGAGTTTCGGTTATTAAGGCTATGTCAATTCGTTTTCATAGAGTAATGTGATGAGTTCGTTTTTATGGTTTTTTTTAAGCCGTTGGCATTTCACAAAAAAATAATTAGGGACTGGGAAGTGAATGAATTATTTAACATTGTTAGATAATAGGCGGACGAGGACTGTTGTGAGGAGGGCTATTAACGGATTTATAATAGCTTGAAAATTGTTAATAAAGGTCGTAAGATCGTTGTTCATATTTTGTTTCGATGGGGTAGACTATTGATCAGAAGTTGCCTGAGCATATGACGGGACTGAGGTTGTGTTGGTGGTTTGTGTTGGCCGCTGGGAACTTTCACAGTTATTAAATTTAGAGCTAACATTGTTTGTTTTGTTACCGTTATTTCGATTGGTGGAGAAATTCCGGTGATTTTGAAGCTCCTTGTATGTTTTGCAACCTTTGTAGTTAGCCGGATGGTTTTCGTTGCAGAGTGCGCAATTAGCAGGGGTTTCATTAGATTTTGTACACGCTGAGGATGGATGGTTTTTTCCATAACGGACACATCTTGGGGAGAGTGCACAGTATTTTTTCGAGTGGCCGTATTCCTGACAGTTGTGGCATTGCATTATATCTTTACGTGTATGGGGTTCTTCCACTTTTATTTTAGTATGAAGTAGGGACGTTAAACTAAATATATCTTTGTTTTTTTTAGCTGGTTCCAGATCAACAAAAAACATCGGAAGTTGCTTTTTTTACCTTATGAAGAGCATTTGCTACTAGTTTTATTATCTAAATAAAACTGTGTAGTAAAATTCTTACCATTTATTATATCATTAATAAAGGCTAGTTTAGCTTTGTTTTATGCATCTGATCTCTTTTAAAGTGATATCGCCGACCGGTACTATCTAAATACATATTTCAATGTGATGAACAATTATTATCTGATTCTATAGTTTCGCCAGTACTCGTAGAGCAGGATTGTACATTATTTGGATTATCTTCCTCAATAGTTTTTTGTACAATTCGATTTTCTACATTACTTATATCATTTCCTCCACGATTATTTACAACTCTTTCAGAGGAATAAGCGTTTCAATATATTTCCTTGGAATTGTCCAAACCTAGAGCTTTTCTTGTAAACGTGAAATTGTTTATTTTTAATCGGGACCTTGGCTTTAAATATTCACGTACCTCAGGTTTCGATCGTAGTCCATTTGATTATGGCTGGATTGTAAGGCTGGTGTATACAACCAATCAAAATGCAATTGGTGTGTACTACCATACACCAGATAATACGAGACTACGATCGAAACCTGAGGTACGTGAATATTTAAAGCCAAGATCCCGATTGAAAATAAACAATTTCACGTTTACAAGAAAAGCCCTAGGTTTGGACATTTCCAGAGAAATATATTGAAACGCTTATTCCTCTGAAAGAGTTCTAAATACTCGTGGAGGAAATGGATAAGTAATGTAGAAAACCGAATTGTACAAAAAACTATTGAGGAAGATAATCCAAATAATGTACAATCCTACTCTACGAGTACTGGCGTATCTATAGAATCAGATAATAATTGTTCATCACATTGAATTATGTATTTAGATAGTACCGGTCGGCGATATCAATTTAAAAGAGATCAGATGCATAAAACTAAGCTAAACTAGCCTTTATTAATGATATAATAAATGGTAAGGATTTCACTATAGTCTGTCTCTGGAGAGGACAGGCCGCTATCCGACCAAATCGAATCGCTACTGCGCATCCCCACGCTGCAACACTATCCATTTATCCCCTCCCGGATCTAACGACAGCGCTGCAACGGCGACCGCAGAAGTGGTGCAGGTGTTGTACACTGCGTTTCAAATAATGCACTGTTGACTTGTGATAGTCCACTGTTTATCGCAAATTGACGTGGTGTACGCACACGTCATTTTTACAGCGTTTAATTTTTTCTCCGTTTTTTTAATTATTTTAAAAAAATGATGTTAATAAGACGAATAATTAGTATTATAAATTTGTAATTTTATTAAAAATAAAATAAAATGTAAATATGACAAAAATGATAAATTGTAATTTTAACGAAAAAAAAAAAAAGTAATGTTTTAATTTAATTATTTATTATTTATTAAATATATAACTCTGTATTATACCTACAGT